ACTATCTCAATTCTATTTTACATCACCCTACTCTGTTGACACTTGATAATCTATTGGATATTTTGACGAAAAGTAAAATTTCTGAATTATTTCTTCAGCTCAATGACAAAATAATTGTGGATATGACCACACAAGTCAGATTACAAAAGTTTCAATACCAATGATAGATAGAAGAATCAGTTTTTCTCAATCTAACTCCAAAACCCACCTCTATTAGAAAAAATCTCATTGCCAGCATAATATTCCTAATATATCAATATAGCATATCTTTCTTCCCCTCTCTCAATAATATCTCAATAGTAATATAATCTGCGTACAGATGGTCTGTCTCAAAAATTCTAAATAATTGGCCTGCCCATAAAACCTGTAGAAAATCTCTCTCACAAGACAATATTCTATTTCTATCTCAGCTTATTAAATATAATAATACAAAACTTATTTTATGGAAATAATATAAATGCAAATTTCATTCAATCAAACAAGGATATGAGCCAAGGTGATTCACTAACTTAACACAAAGAGTCACCAATCATAGTGATTTATCTGACTTAACAATTATTAACAAACAATATGATCATAGTAAAGACTTTTATAAAATTCCAGACCATCATATCTCTACACACTTTAATGACAATTCTGATCTGTATTCACATTGGCATCAATCAAAAACACAACTAAATCTAGTTGATGCAGATAACAATTTTTTCACAGATGGATTAATAACAAACTCTGGTTCATCAAAAATTTTAGCAGGAATAGCATGGATATCATAATTATCCAAAGCAGATTTTAGTTTTTCAATAAATAATTCATTGTCCACAACAAAAACAGAACTATTCACCATCTGCATCTTGTCAGAAATCTTATCAAAAAACTCAAAAATATCCATTTTCTCTGATAGTCAATCAGCCATCCAAGGTTTCAAGAATAATATTCAATTATAATCAATACAATCTAACCATCACTTATATCAACAATCTAACTGGCCACTCTGGAAAATTCTTGATAGCAATATTAATAACAAAGCTCTTAATATCATAATCCACAAAGTTAAAGATCACTCTAATAATTCAGATAATGACCTAGCTGATAAACTAACTAATCAAGATCGTAATATGGACACACTTCACATCAACTATCATCATTTATCATACACTAAATTTATATCTATATTTAATCAATCTATCCCAATAGATACCAACCTGAAAATATTCCTTAAAAAAATATATCATTACTCAAGTATTTACAAGTGGCAGAATGAACTGAGAATCAAATATAATATACAATCCCTATTACAAAGCACTGATTGGCTCAGAATATTTTCAGTATGGAACCAAGATGGCAGAATCAATAGTATTCACATTAATTCTCATGCTTTCAAGATCTGCACCTTCTTTATCAAGTCATTCCACAATATGTTACTAACTCTACAATATCTAAAAATTCATAAACTTCACATATATAAAAATGATATTTGCTATTTATGCAAATTAGCAGTCAAAAATCAAACATATTTGTGGACTTGTTCAATAGCCAGCAAAGCAAGATACACCATTAGCCAACAACTATAATCTCAGTTATATAACTCCATCATCTTATCTTATGATAATATAACAAATCTTCCTTCAAGACAAACCATTCAGGTCTATCTCCAAATATCTTTAATCTTCACAGCCTTATCTAATCCTACTCCTTCCAATACTATTAACATTAGCATGCTTCTCAGAATAATACCAAAAGAGCTACTTCAAATACTTATAACTCATCAAATTCCAACTTTAATAGCAAGGAAAATAGCAGTTCATTTTATTAAATGATTATCACAATAATTTTACAAACAGATCTGGATATCTCATTACAAAGCAGTCAACAAATACAAAAAATCTCTAGAAATAACACAAGCACAAAAATATCACAAATAGATAATCTCTAAGGGCAGACCAAAAGGTATCTTTACATCACAATTATATCAAACTATTTACAAAATATGGTCAGATTCTTTGCTCTATACATGCGGATTTCCAGAAAATCAGTATCATGACCAGCAATGTCCAATCCAAGCTGTTACTCACAAGAATATTAATAAAATTACTCTAAAAGTTTGTAGTTTACAAATTAAACCTAGCAAATTAATTTTTCCATTAGAACCAGTTTAGTCTTAGACAGGTTCAAGATGGCTAGTCACATCTTATATTTTAAATGTAATATGGGTGATCTCTGATCTATCATCTGTAAACTAACATAGTATAGAATTAACGTAGATGAGAGGTAAGACTATACTGTAGCTTTATAATAATAATAATAATAATAATAATAATAATAATAATAATAATAATAGTAATAACTTAATAAAAAAGTTCAAATTAATATCAAAATACTTTATTTATCAAATAAAATAAATATTATAGAATATATTAATTATTTAAAAGAAAAAAATATTAAAGAACTACTAATTAATCAAAAGCTTATAAATTTAATTATATATTAAGAAAATGAAGATAAGGAAGAGATGAAAAAAAATAATAATATAAAGTGAAAAAAAATTATTTATAAGAAGTTGTAAGAGATTATAGATTTAGTTATATAATATCTTATATAACAAGATCTTAATAATACTATTAAGTTTAATAATATATTATTAAAATTATATGAAAAAATAAAAAACTTTAAGAAGTTTCTTTTAAATAAGTTATTATCAAAAAAATTTTTAATATATCTTATTATTTATAAATTATATTTATTAATATAATTAATTATTATATAAATAATATGAAATAATATAATTAACTATTTTTTAATATATATTCTCATTAAATATATATTTTAAAATCAGTCTAATAATATCTATTTAAAGAGATTTAACTATATATAAATAAAAAATAAATAAAAATAATTTATATCTTAAAATTTTATTTATAAAATTATTTTTAATATTTTAATAAAATCAAAATACTATTAATTAATATTTTATACTTTGTAATTTGATTAATTTACTTCTTGAAAAATATATAATTAAATATTTTTTTGCTATAATTATAAAAATTAATTATTATATATTAGTTATAATAAAAAAATTCAAGTTAAATAATTTTTTAAAAGATAAATTAATTAAATTGCAAAACATTAAATATTAAAGATTAAAACTAGAAATAAAATTAAGATTATATATACATTATATAAAGAATATATAATAAAATTTTATAAAAAATATTTTTATTAAAAAATAGATTAATAAATAAAATTTTAATAAATATTTGATTTGAATTTTTCTATTATATATTAATATTATAATTTAATTGATTTACTTTTTGAAAATTATATAATTCTGATAATTACTAAATTATTAAATCAATTTGAAATCTAATCCAATCTGAATTGAAAAATTTCAGAATATTAGATTATTTTCAGATCTAAGCTAAACTGATCAAAATAAAATTTTTAAATTATAGTTGATAAAAAATTTTGATATTTTTTAACTTCTCATTATTTTCTTGATTTTTTGAAATTATTTGTATTTAACTTATACTAATTCCATATTTTAATTAAAGAATATCATTATTTTTATTATCATTATTCATTTTAACCTTTCAATATAAGTGATTTATGTTATTTTGATATTATATTCATATAATTCTAATTACTAATTATCAAGATATCACATATTTTTTAACTTGCATTATATTATCACTATCTCAAAAACTTGAGTATATTTTTTGGTTATAATAAATATTTTACTAGTATATTAGTAAAAAAGTTTCTAATTAAAATCTTAATTGTGTTATAATATTCTAATATCTTATTGAAAATGATAATCTTCAAAAAATTCAGCAGTGATGCTAGTATTTAATGTGACTAAGTTTCATTATACAATGATGATGACCTGAATAATTTGCATTTTAGTATCGCAACTCTTTAGAATATCCTAAAACAGAATAAAGTCAGTCTTAAATATAAAATTAAACGAACTTGATTAGAGCTGAAGTCGAAAAAAGCTTTCCTATAAATATAAATAAAAACAAATCCACTCAAATACAATTTATACAGTCAAATCTTCGAATCAATTTCAACTCTAACTACTTTCTATTTAGAAATATATTATTTTAATTTTCCAAATATTAAAATTTAATTTGAATATTAGGCTCTATAACTCCAGATGAAGATGACCTTACTGTTTAATATTCTTTTTATTTTCATTAACTAATTGCTACCTTTTTTCTTTGGTAAAAAAAAATAAAAGTGTACCAAATGAAATTAAGATAAAAAATATCGAGTATCTAGAAGAAAAATTGCAAATTCATGATTATGAAATATAAAAGTTATCTTTTACATATTCATTCGTTAGAGATTAGAGAAATCACAACGACCAAAAATTCTTTGTTTCTAAACATATATATGTTGTGTTTTAGGTCGCTTCTTGCGCTAGATATCGATTGGCCCAAATTAGAATCGAACTACTAAGGAAGATAGATTAAAGTTGGCGGGAAGCGACATCTGACATCTGAGACAACGGTAACGTTCGAAATTCTGCCAAACACAATCCCGACAGTTTTATAAGCCCGACCAACGAAATCCCGAAAAACTACATCCCGAATGCATCGAAATCCCCGAATGCACGAAATCCCGAAATCGTGATATTTTGGCATTCCATGTGTTTGGGAATCCGTTCTTTCGGGATTTCGTTCGAGCAGGATGCTGTTCCTTCGAGATTTCGTTAATCGTTCATTCGGGATATCGTTGGTCGAGCTTGTGAACTTGTAGACCTGAGGCACAACATAACGATTCTTTGTTTTACTTTCGAACATCCCTAAAAATTGGTTCCTATAGAAAGAATGTTTATTGGCTCGCAAAATTATTTTTCTCTAGAGAGGGTAACATTTCTTTTATTTGACTTCATGTTCCACTATTTTATTTCTCCATTGAGTTTTATTCAATTCTTTGCATTTTAGACTTTATTTTAAAATAAAATCGCAAGAATTAACAACCAATATCGGTATAGGAACTCAAACATCTTGTTTGTTGCTATTATCATGCTCGTTGTGTTCATTAGTAGCATAAGATGTTACCGTCCTCAGATCATGAACAGCACTCTCAACATTGCTCCTACGTAAGTACCTTTCACGTATATACGTCAATGCCGTAACGTCGAAAAAGTAATTAGACAACAGTGTTTCCAAATTTTGAATTCGATTTTCGCATAGCTCAATTCGTCCTTGTTCGAGACTTTTTTCATCAGTAAATGGGGTTATTAGAGGAACATTATCTAAAGTTACAAAGTCAGTTATTTCAGATTGTGTTACGCGATGCATTATTCCGAATGGTCTGAATTTACGGTCTCCAAATAATAGGAAATATATTGTACAGATGACGCCTGTTTATGAAATAATTTATATAAATAATTTTTAGCTTTTAATATAAAAATTAATATATTTATCTACTTACTAAATGCTCCTCCAGCCACACCCAAAGTACCTATCAATGTTCTTAAGCTAAAAAAAAGAAAGATAATTAGAAATAGGAGAAAATAATAGCACAAATCCAAAAACATTATATAACACACCGTTTTTCTGCTGAAACACGATTAATAAAACTTCCTGGTTTTAGCTCGATGTAACCCGAATCTGTTGTCTCGGTGAAATTTGGATTGGGATGTAGTGGAAAGTACTGAGCGGTCGTGATTAGTGTAGACGTATTTACATAAGCTTGTCCAGAACTCATGCCGATTCTGCTAGAGAGGTCATCATCGGGTATTTCACAATACGTTGTTTTCACAAATCGAACATTCGTCGAGTAATTTGCGATCCCGTCAAAATTATTACCTTGAAGTCGCAATTCCTCATTTAAACCTTTAGCCTAATGTCCAGAGAAACAATAATTAGTTTGCGTCATAATATTATTGGTTTGTATTAATTGTTATTAAATAATATACTATTTTAGTTTTCGTCGTCTTCTTCCAAAGAATGTTGTCATCCGGATCAAGTATTTGCATAGCTAAAATTCAAAAAAATATCTAAATGAAAAAATCTTTTGAAAGAATTCCTCAATATCTCAAATACGCACCAACAGTTGGCACAGATAACACCAAAGCCTCGACACTCGTTAAATTCAAAATTTTGAAATAAAATCCTAACTGTAATAGTTTTTTTTCAACTTTAGATTCTTTAGAGTTGCTCTCTGCACTTATGAACCAAAGAGTTTTATTGCCAGTGAACAAATAGCAGTAATTATTTTCTATAGTTCGAGGACCTGCGTACACATATGGAAATCCTTTCTTACTACAGTTGACAAGGGTATCTGATGTCCAATCGGTATAGGTAAAGACACATCGAGTGATTTGTATGTCACTTCCATATCCACACATTTCAATGTCTTAAATTTGGCAAACGAAGGTTTATTTAATTAGAAAATTTTGCATTATTAGGTCATTAAGATCTGATATTCTGACCTGGAACTTCTAGTTTATCCATTAGTTCGTTTGATAACTGGATTATTGGTCTGTCAGTCCATACTTGATATACCAAAAAGATCACATAGGTTGAATATGACAACACAACTAGCGCAATGGTCAACAGTCGTACACCATGAAACACACTTATAAGCTATAAATTACATGTATAACTTTTATTTTTTAGGTTAACGTTAATAAAATAAGACAGAGTAATTTGTTACCTTACGATGCTTAAATGTATCAATACGAATCATTTTCACAAATTTAATAAACAGAAAATAGATTGTTCAAATTTTAATACTTAATACATGTATGTGGCTTTTGGTATTTTGGTTATCATAAAAGCCACAATCAATATTATGTGGCTATCGTTATCGCGTTCAAAATGTCTAAACCTACTAATTTAATTATTTTTACTGTACTAGAATAAATATCCTCTAAATTCTCACTGAATAACAAAGGAAACTTGTATGCAGTTATATTTTTCGTAAATGTATATGTAATTGAGATCTCGTAAGAATGGTAAAAATTGAGCGCATGGAAAGATGCATCGGAATCCACTTATAAACCATTTTTTATACAGGTCTTAAAGACCTAAAAGACGGATTTGGACGGATATTATCACATACCGATACAAACAAATTTTGGATTGTCAGCTGTGATTGCGTTCAATATTCGATTGATTTCTTTGCTTTTTTCTGACGTTATTCGCTTTGATTTCGCATTAGCCAGGGGGAGAATATTATTTCGAGCACTGTAAATAGCACATTTTTGTCATTGCGGTGAGGAGGATTCAAAAATATCACTTTATTATGTTATCAATTTCATAATTTAAAAGACAAGGTCAATATTTAGTTAGTTACATTATCTTATTTTAGATAGTTCGGTAATAATTTTTGTAACGATATGAAAGAAAATAAAAGACCAAGTCGCAACCATGACAAAAATGCCCACTCCAAAAATTCCCACAATCGGAATTACGATAACCACCCAGATAGGTAGCATGATAAACGAAGCAAAGATGATAGCCGAGTACAGAATTGGATGGTGAATAAGAATGTCATTAATTGATAAAATAGCCTCTTCTGTTATTCCGAAGATTTTCCACATTATTTCTGTTAACGTTAATGATGGATTAAAAATGTTGGTATCGTTTCGAGCAGCATTCGAAGACGCAGACGAGGACGTAGATGCAGAAGATGTAGAGGAAGCAGTGGTTACGGGCATGTTACTTTTAATCGGTGTAATTTTTCGTGATGATGAAAACTCTGTAGTTGATATTTTCGAGATAATGTACGTATCGAAAAAAGAACTCATGTTTCTTCCCTCTTCCAAGAGCAAATTTTAGTTTGGAGATTTTATATCATCAATCAAAATTAATTTTTTTCTTAATTAGTAAAACTATCAAATCATTATTGTTCAGCACTAAATGATAATGATATTTTAATTATCATTGTTTATTAGTGGTGCACCCTTCATGCTTTTATGTTTAGCATGGGAAAATAAAATCGATTTATCTCCTCGTATAATATTATTATATATTCTCAAATTGTATTCAAAATTGAAAAATTTTAATCTCGTCAAGCATTATAAAGATGCTGCAAGTATAATTACAAGTTTTACACATTTTACAACATTAGTAATAAAAAATTCATGCAAAAGCTTATCTGAAGATTCTCTAAGATAATTTGGTCCCTTTTCATAATATAATTTGTTCATTGATTTGAGAGAAATTTGATCTACTAAAGTGTAAAAGCTTTCCAAGGATCGCGAAAAAACTCAAGACTACTCTGAAGAAAATTCGATGTGTTGGTTTTTGAGGAGGTTGTAGGCTCAATGTCTTGAGAAATCAAAGCGATATTAAGCCATATGAAGAGCTAATAATGTATTAGCTAGTGGTAAAAAATATTTTTATATTAATAAGACAGAAATAAAATAAATCCGAAATTTTATTTTTTTAAAAAATCGGGCGTTACTTTTTGTGGCGACTGTACAGGTACTGCATTACGTAAATTACTAAATTTATCGAAATACAATCAATATACAGCCTGTGATTTATTTAGCGCAATAACCTTTGTAGTTACTACCTACTAATCCTCTTTAGAAATGGCAAATATAAAGCATAGGGAATAGCTCAACGATATATTCTAAGAAATGCACTGAATGCCAAAAAAGTTCCTCGAATGGAGCGAGTAAAAAAGTCGACGAATGATTCTTTTACTCCAGAAAATTTTGTCAACAAGAGCCTATCTTCACCATAGCTCATACGCTCTGAATATTATTTTTCCAGTTCTGAGTTAACACAGAATCCCATGGTAGAAGGATCAGTAGTTGGTTCTCCAAGGTCAGAGATTTCCAATCTGAGCAGGAGTTTAATAAAAGAGTAACGCGCGTTAATCAATGAAAAGCTTTGGTTCTTGGAACAGGCATCAAGTCGTTGTTATTTGGCTGGTTTTTGACTAAAGAGATATGATGATTTCATAAGCAGTGAATCAGAAAATGAGCTTGATGTAAAAACAGTTTAACGAATTAATTAATTTAATTTTAATAAATTACAACAATTATTTAAGTATATCTCGTAGTTGTGCTGTTGGACCGAATTAATAAATATAATTAGTTCTAACTCAAGTGGATTTGGTACGAAATCCCGACAAACACAATCCTGACAGTTCATAAGCCCGACAAACGAAATCCCGGAAGAACAGCACCCCAAATAATCGAAATCCTGAAAGAATGAGATCCCGAATAATCGAAATCCTGAAAGGACGAAATTAGAATCCCAAATGTATGGAATGATCAAGTTACCACAATTTCTGGATCTGTGCATTCGGATCTCGTTCTTTCGGATTTCGATTTCGTTTATTCGAAATTTCGGAATTTCGTTGAACTGTCGGAATTTCGAATTTTATTGATCCAAATAGTGACTATAAGACTATCGAGATATTTGATGATATAACCTATGATTATTATCTTTATTTTGATATAAAATTTAAATAAATATTATTATTAAAATAATACTTAAATACGATATATTACCGGAAATACCAAAAACGAATCTACCGCTTTGAATTCCAATATCTCAAAATCCAATTTAAATGAAAATACTCCCATTAAATTGGTTCCGACTCCACGAATCTTATGGTAATATCTTCATTTAAATAGGATCACTGGATTTTGAGATATTGGGTTCCAAAATGATAGTTTTATTTTTGTTATTTCTGGTAATATATTGTGGAGGCGTGTATGTAAGAAATTTATTTACTTTTTATTAATATATTTGATTTAATAAATCTAGTAGGTACTACTTGGAAATTTTTTAGCAAGCTATGAAGGTATAATTATCTTTTTGATAACACTTGCATTTTATACATTAAGTGGATTATCAATTCCTAGATTGCAGTGGATTAGAAATTCTAAGTAAGATGAGATCTTAAATTAAAAATATCTACAGTCAGCACGGAAAGTAATGGCGGACATGTTTTTCGCCTATAACTTAATAAGAAATTGCTAAAAATTTACAAAAATTTGGCATTATATTCTTTAAGATGATGGAAACAAAATTTTCTAGTGATCCTAACCGGTTAAGATTTTTGTAACCAGTTAACTGGTTAAATTAAATGGTTAAAGTCGGTTTAACCAGTTTGATTAATTTTCTTATATGGAAGTTAATATTAATTGGCTAAATGATAAATACGTGATTTATAATATGTCATATATGACTATATAAAACGGATTTTATTTAGGATATACTGCAAAAACATTAGAATTTTGTTTAAGAAAAAGAATATCAGATAAACTTGTTGGATTAAGTCAATTACGTTTTTCAGTTAATGTATTTCCAGCTATTGAAAAAAGATGTTCAGAAGGAACAGAACTTGCTGGAATTGAAAGATAATAATGAGCTTGTTGTGCAAGAAAAGGAAAGGTAGTAGAATGAGTTTTTCACCATGTGATTGGACAATTTTTTTCAGAAGGTAACAAGTCAAGAAGGTTGAGATAAAGATCCAATTCAGTATAAGATGGTTGTGATAAATTTGTTGTATTTAGAATATTAAATGAAGTAAAAAAATCTAACATTTCAAAAGAATCATCATTATGCAAAGAAGAAGAAAGTGGTTCAGGATTAATAAAGGATTTTAATAAGAATAATATTTGTTCTTTTTTTTCTCTTGATACAAAAGCTAGTAATTTGAATCTTGAATCTAATAAAGATGTCAAAAGACCTAATTCTTTTGGATCTTTCTATCATAATTCCATAGATTCAAGAATTATATCATGAACTTCTTAAACTATTGGTTTATTAATATGTAAATAAGAAATATGATAAAGATGAACAAAAAGACCTTTAATTGTTAGATACATTGCTGATAGAGTGAAATATGTGCTGTCACTTAAAAATCTTGTTGCTTTTTCAAATGGATATAATAGGTAAACAAGTTCTTCTACTTTTTTCCAATCATTAAAAGTTAAGAATAAAGTAGCTAATTTATTACTATCTTCATAAATTTGTTGATTATCTTCATGTTGCATTGCTTCATATAATGCTTTGATCAAATATTTGAGATAGGTAAGTCTTTCCAAAACTTTTAAAGTTGAATTCCACTAGATAGTGACATCTTGAATTGGTGTGAGAGCTTCTTTTACTAGATTCAAAGCTTTTTGAATTTGAAAAAACTGAGCTTGATATTTATCACAATGAACAAGAAATAAATTGAGAGCTTTTGCATGGATAATAAGATCTTTAATATCAGAATAATGATTTAAACTATTAGAAACTGCAAGATGAATAGTATGTGCAGAATAGGGAATAGATTTTATATTCATATTTTGAAGTACTTTTAAGATTTTTGCGTCATTATCTGTAACTCCTCCAATAATTTTATCATACAAGTTAATTCTCTATCTATCAAATATATCAGAAAGTTTTGTAGTAATATTTTCTCCTGAATGATCATATGATATTTTCTCAATTGTAAGTAAGGCTTTGTATAATTGAAAATTTTCAGTTAACTAATGAATAGTAATGCCAATATATGATTGGTGAAAACTAATCCAAAGATCTGTAGTAAAACTGACTTTTTTCATGGTATGATCAAGTAGTTTGACTAGTTCTTGCCTTGCAAATTCAACACTTTGTTAATAAGTAATTTTATTATTATATCACAAGATGATTCATAACTAGGATGTAGTGAATGACAAAATTTTTTAAATTTTGTATTTTTTAATAACATAAATAATTGTAAGTCATCCACAATAAATTCAAGTAGTTGAAAATTAATATATTCTCGTTTTATTGTAGAGAAAGGCTTAATATTTTTCCATGATTGTTGAAGCATTTGTTATTGAGATAATTATAATTGCAGTTTGATTCCTGGCTGAAGAGATTTTGTATCTTTTGTAATCAAGTGTGTCTTTGTAAGATAGTAGGTATAGAATGATGTTAAGGTATTAAAAGAGTAAAATTGTGAACATTTGGCAATGCTATACATTTCAATACCTTCATTTTCATCACGTTTAAACTATTGCCAAATCCAACTAATATCAATTCTTGTTTTTTTTCTTTTTTTTTGTAGATTTGCATTAATTAACAATCCAAAAACTAGTAGTCATAGCAGAAAATAATTGTTCATGTATAATATTTGTCTCTATATCAGTATTCTGTTCTTCTTTACTTTGAATACTCACATTATTAGAATTTTCTTGTGTAGACCAAATATTATATCTACCCATAAGCTTAGCAATATCAAGAGGTGCGGGTAAGGAAATAGAACTAGTTAATGATGAATGATCAGATAAAATATTAAGAGTGTGTTCATCTTCTGAAGAAAGTTGAAAGAAAGTAGTTGTAACAGATGATTGTTATTCATCATTAGATAATGGTGAAAAAACAGAATTTTCAGTCTGATGAAAAGGTATTATAATTTCTAATATAGAAGAAGAATCTTGTTTTTGAACTGTTCCAATAACTTCATCAAATATACTTGTACTATTCCTGCCATCCTTTTTAAATTTTTCACTATGTGATTTATAGCTTAAGAACTTCAAAGACTGGCTATTCTTTTTACGAGCATTTTTCCAAGACATTATTGGCATGACAGATTTTTTTTGCATGATATAATGAGTATTTCTAAATATGAAAGATAATACTTAATTATGATTAACCGCTTTGAGAAAAACTCTAACTGATTAAGATCTAACTGATTAGAATTACTACTTATCTTGCTTTAATGAACTTCTAAATATGGAAGATAATACTTAATCATGATTAACCATTTTGAGAAAAATCCTAACTGGTTGAAACTTTTTAAGTGATTAACCAGTTAAGGTCTAACTGGTTAGAATCACTAATATTAATATAATAATATTTTATGGAATCACATGCTAAAAATAAAACTATTCTGATAAAAGTACTATAAAAATTTATTTAAAAATA